TTTGGATTACTGTATCTAAATGTTAAAAACCGATCTTCGGGTGACTGTATCGAAACGTTTAAGAGAGTGCTTAGGTTGATTATATTGAAGGGAAATTCAAGAGAATTCTTTGGATTACTGTATCTAAATGTTAAAAACCGATCTTCGGGTGACTGTATCGAAACATTTAAGAGAATTCTTTGGTTAGCTGTATTGAAACATTCAAGACAGTTATTTGGGGAAACTATGCCAAAACATAATGGGTCGTTTTGGAAAGCGAATCTGGTTACTTATCTACAATTTTATTTACTTGAGAGAATATAAACAATCTCAATGTTAAATACATCCAGTATGAAATATTTAACTTTGATCAGACTGATTCCTAAAATCAAGTGAAATACCTCCAGTGAAACTTTCCTAAAATAAAGTTAAAAGGCTTAATTAATTGCATTGGAAATTATCATATGTGTATGATAAGTATATCTGAATTCATTTTGCCAATGTATGTATGTTTGGATATCAACGTATGTGCTTTAGAGATGGAAACGTAATTCTACTTTTCAAAATTCAAAAAATAGTGGAAGTGATTCACAATAATCCATGAATCTGCTAAGATAGAGGTTCTAACTATAATGTAAATGAATTTAAACAGACAGAGTCTGTACGGCTGTTCAGCTGAAACATTGCGTATTTGGCTGTTAGCCAGTCTTTATCGTGCAACAAGCTCACGAACAAACCATCATAACCAAAAGAAAAACTAGTTCTAGTTCCAATTAACTAGTCCCACTTCCCTGGTGATTATTTTGAGAAGCACGTTTGAAGAAAACAGGTTTGGTTTGAGTTTTTTTTTTTTTTAGTCTAAACAAACTTTTATGTTTAATTCTTTATATGTATATATCATTTCATTATATTAAAGAATCTATCGAAGTTTGACACACTGAAAACAATTTTTTAAACATAATCTGAATTGAATAAACAGTTGACGTAGTTTTAGAATAAAAAGAAATTCCATTAAGACAGTAAAGATTAAAAAATAAGTTGAGTAATTTCCTGACTTTTCTATTCATTGTTGTTCTTCAATTAGAATCGAGAAGCAATAATATATTCTTGGAAAATTCTAACAAAAACGGGTCAAAGTATATAAATTCGACATACAAAAGAAAACAGAAGAAACATATTTGGTAATAACTTGACAAAGTGATAAATCACTGGACACTTTTATTGTATGTATGTGATTTGATCAATATATCCCACGTTTTATTTACTGGTTCATTATAATAAAATCAAACAGGAACCATCGAACGTCATATTATCATTTAAGTTACAGTATGGTTCGAATGTCGGATAATGATTTTTTTAAAACATTATTTAATGTTTCACACAACCCAAACTAACTTAAGTTTCATTGCTGAGATTGTATCAACTTAGAGTAAACAAAAATTCATAAAAATAGTACTAATGAATACGCATTTATATATTTCACTCTTCGTAACTGATTTTTTTTTTAATTTGCTCTGCGTACTCCAGACTAAGAATTATAAATTGCTGGGCTTATCACATAATTCACAAAACAAAGACAAATAATTATAATACGAAAGTAGGTTTAGTACATAGACTAGAAGATTTTCTACGTATTCTAGAAAATTAATTCTAAGACATGTCTTAACACACAGACAAATTACAGCTTACCGAAGGTCAATGTAGATGGCTTTTTGCTCATTAGACTTTAAAATGTCTTTTAAACTAGTTATTAGATAACCCAAGTTCTTCGTCCTGAAATACAAAGAAAACACATGGGGTAGGTAATAAAATAGAGAAAATTATAAAGTTTTGGCGCTAAAATAAGAATGAGAGGTATAAGATTATGGTAATAAGATAGAGAAAAAGTACACTAAAAATATACACACGATTTTATTACTGACATAGAGATTGGTGCGTAAGGCTTTGGTACTAAAATATAGGAAACATAGGAACTTGTTTTTCTTATTATTGTAACGTCATAGAGGAGATTGTTTTAAAAGAGTATGTTACAATACGGAAACAAAGGTTAAAACACGTAAGCCTTATACACAGCTAGTAATATTTTTTTTGAGTATTTAATGATATTTAGCTTCGAAATATTACAAAACGAAATCAACAAATGCACTTACGAAGAATAGATCCTCAAACTATCGAAGAATTGCTTTCTTTCAATCTCATTTGATATAAGAATATCTGCCTAGATAGAAATAAAAACAATATATATATATATGTCTGTGTGTATTAGCAACAAAACTTCTTATTAGTTCAAATATAGCGTGGAAGAAAAGCTTCAGAGTATAAAGGATGTACAAACTCAGAGCCTAATTAGTGGAAGCCATAATAAATATACCACGCCCTCTTTTATTACTAATAGAGATGATTAATAATACGTGAGATCTCAAAAAAAAAACTATAAGCTAGTATATAAGATAAAAGATTGGAGATGGCTTGAATGGGTAATTAAGAATATTTTATTATAAATGTACAGATAACTTTCAAATTCGATGACGAGGAACCCACTTTGAGATTAATAATGGCTGGAGACGGCTTAAATGGGTAATGAAG